ATGTCATCCAGCTGAACAGCAGCAGCTCATCTGGGCTTAACCTTCTGGATCCATTCCATTTGTAGGACCCAAGCAAAAACAATAAATCACAGCTAACAAGCAGGCAGATTTTGTTTTAAACATTGAGAAGATTGGAGGACTTCCCTTGCATGTCCATTAAGGAGCCCAATTTTTACTGGAGAAGGCATATTTATTAATTCAGGGCTGCTGTGTTCCCATCAGTACCAGGCAAGGGATTCCTGAGGCATTTTCTGGTGCAGCACATCCCCTGGAGCTCCCAGATTGGCCATGAGCACACCACATTTCTCTCCAGCTCATCTGTGAGCACAGAACAAGGGACACAGGGCTGGCAGGTGACATGAATGGACATTCAGCACATGGATCTGGGGACACAGATCCCTGCCTGACCTCTAGTGACACACAACATCAGCAAGTTCCTTACAGCATTTTGGGAGAAAGAGCTCTTGTTTGTACTTTGGCTTTTTTATTCATAAATATACTGCTGGAGCTGAAACCCCCACGGAGGCCTGCTCAGATAGAACTGCTCACAGCAGAGAGATGGGGACAGCCATGAACCCCCAAAGAGGAAGGAAGAGAGTCCCACAGGAATTAATCTGTGTGGATGAGCTGCCAGGGAATGGAGAATGGAATACAGGAGGTAACAGACAATGCCAATGGGTCAGGTATGAATTTCCTCTGTGAATCTCTGACTAAAAAATCTGAGGAACTCAAAAAACCCAAACTGTTCTCTTTACTCTGGTTGCAACCACGCTGATAAAGCAAATTAAAAATAAAATTAGGACAGAAGGGCTTAGGAGAGCTTTGTGTTTGTTAGAGAAACAGGATGATACCAGTGGAACATCTAATAAAGCTCTTTTCTATTCTCCTGTGACTGCTGCCCTGCCCAGTGCCTGTACCTGTAACACCTCAGTCCTCCACATGCAACTGGGGTTAAGTGAAAGCTTCACAGAAGTGAGACCCAGGATTGCAGTGGAGCTGGACCTGCCAATACTCATTTCTGTGCATTGTGGGGCAGCTCTGGGAATCCCACCCCCTGAAGGAGCTGCACTGCCACCCAACAGGGTGGCACAGGGGAAGACACTGCCAAATGCTTTGCTGTCCATCCTACAGGAAGGGGTAACAGGACTGACAGGAAAAAAAGGGATCTCTCTCTCCCCTTCCCCAAATCCCCCATCTCCACATCTGAGAGCAGCCCCCCCACACCCAAGTGCCCTCCAGCCCTCCCTGCCCATCCAAGCTCAGCAGTAAAGGCAAGCCCAGCCCCTGGCTCCCTGTGCTGCTGTTCAAACCCCTGGCACCAGCCCTGGCTGCCCAAGTGCCTGTGCAAGAGCTGGGAGCTGGCAGGGAGCAGGGCCTGAGCCCCCTGGTACCCCCCAGCCCTAAGGAGCTTTTAGGGAATGGGCATCAAGCTGTCACTGGGGAAAGGGAATTGTTGCTCAAGGCTAAGGGCAGACCTAGTGCACCATGTCATGGCTCTCAGGAGTGCAGAGCCAGCTGGCTGCCAGGCTCTGAAGGAACACAACCACAAGGCTTTCCTCTTAATCCCCTTTGCCCTTTCAGCAGGCTGGGCCCAGAAAAACGAGTGGCCAGTGCATGGGACACGAGGCTTCGGACAGACACGATGAGCCAGAGGCAGCAAAGCGGACACTGAACCAAGCGTGGGGATGGGGCTGCACAGTCTGGCTGCCCTGGCAGCTTTCTGCTCACCTCTGGCTGAGAGTAGGGCTCAGTGCTTTAAAACAGGCAGAGATACTTTCAACTCCAGTTTCTAAGCTCTCCCAGCACGTTCCACTTTTGCACATTGAGGAAGGGCCAGGCAGGGCAGCCTCACTCCACACCCACCTTCAAGTCTGTCTGTGGGAAGGCTGCTTTTTGGCATGAATACCTAACTTCCCTTGATTATTTTTCTTGCCCCATCCGGAATTATACTTTCTGCATCCTGCCTGAACTTTGTTTGGAAACTAAGGCTCACTGAGTAGACACCATGGCATACCTGCAGGTACAGACCCAGCCTGGGCCATCGAGGACAAACCCAGGCCAAGTGGTAACACTTGAAGCTAATTAATCATTTACATCACATCTGACTTGCTGCAGAAGGCAATTGAAAGGAAGCAAAATGTGTGTGATGCACAGCATGGCACAGTAAATAAAACATTCCCTGTTTTAGCAGCCTGCTCCCACCTCCATCCAGTGGCTCAGGCTGCATCAAGGAGTCCAGGCTCTCCACCCAGCACATTCATCCTTTTCTACCCTTCCTCTGCAGCAATCCTCACTACAGACTTCACAGGAGCTACTTTCAAGCATTTATCCTTAATTATGGACCACACTGGATAATTATGCAATTTTTTACTGATTAAGCCAATTTGGTTGTTTGGGATGATTCAAATAGACCACATGACATTAGATCTCATGAGGGATGAATGCACAAAGACTTTTAACATGAATATATCCATCCCTGTGGCATTTGAACTGCAGATATTCAAGTGTGATTGATATTTTTTGTTCAAAATATTTTTTCTAGAAAGAACAATGACAAGCTTCTAGAAGAAATCTTGGGCTAGTCTGAATAAATCAAAAAGGAAGGAGAAATTAATTTAAGAACCTGGTCCCTATTCAGAGGTGTTATTACATTCACAGCTGATATGGGGCAGTATTTTCCTCGCTTCCAAACAATATTAACAGATCCAGGAAGGAATACTATCCCCCTTTGAGAAAATTTCAAAGGCAGCAACCAAAATCTGTCTCCAGTTAAGAGCCAAGACTCTGGCCCTTCACTCCCAATTACAAAGTACATACCCAAAATAAGAAGCATACAGAGTAAGGCAATTTAGGAATAAGATTCCCTAAACATAAAAGGCAGACAGACTTGCTGAGCACTTATCAAGTAATTCAAATTCACCTCCAGGACTACTGCCTGCTGAGTTTGTGCACAGTTGCAGCAAAATTACTTTCAGCTGAGCTAATCTGGCAAGCTGATATCAGATTTAACTGCTGCTTTGCTCTGACCGTAGCAGTGCATCTGCTCGTGGAACCCCTGCTCACTGTTAGCTTTCCCTGTCCATCCCACTGGAAATGGTGAGTGTCTAAGAGCAGAGGCTGGCCCCAGGCCTTTTGGGAAAACAGCCTGCCAAGGTCACTGCCCCTGCCTGCATCCCTTCTGCCTGTTATTTGTGTCCTGACAGCCTGACAGGGAATACTGACATGCAGAGGACAAGCAGCAGACTCCCGAGCAGCTCTCACTGCCCGCCCTGGGTGTGTGCCAAGCTTTGGTGACAGAGCAAACAAGCAGCATCCACACACCTGCTGGGCTCACAAGGCATATGCAGGAATGCTGATGAACAGAAAGACTGTCAGGAATTAGCTCTAAAGACAGATCCACAATAGGTGTCTCAGCTATTTCCAGACACTCACACGTGGACATGTTTTCCACGTCTGAGCCAAAAGCGAGCCCAGCACAGTTGTAGCTGTGAGGGTTGATATAAAATTTGATTTGTTTTCTTGTTTCATTTAAGGAATGATTAAATTCCTCTATTTTTCCCTCAGCTGTCAAACTGGGACCCAACAGTCTGCCAGACAACATGCAGCCAGCAATAATTAATATATTATTATTGTGAATCCACAGAAGCACAATCCATTTCCTCTTCACCTATAATGTGTCAGACCAAAAGCGAACTACAGCTGCTGAGATGTGAGTACAATGAGCACATTATAGAGCCTCATCTTTCCAGGCTCGGTGTCAACAGCTCTCCAAAGTGGCATGCAGCACTCCTGGACACAAACACAAAGGATGTGCTCTGGCAAACCTGGTTCTGCTCCATGAGCTTTCCTGGCAGCACTGAGACAAAGCAGAGCAAAATTCTCCTTGTGGAGTGCAGAAACCCAAACATCCAGGCAGACACAAATGAGCCAGAGACCAGCATTTCTGCACCAGGGCTCTGGCCAGAAGTGCCAACCCAAGTCTGAGCCTAAACAGAGCACCTGGGCATGGGCAGGGGCTGTGGGTGAGCTCCTGCTGAGGCTCAGCAGGGCCATCAGTGGGACTGGTAAAGATGAATTTTCCCACAAAACTCAGCAATTAGATAGATATCCAGCAGAAAGACAAGTGAACTCTCCAGAGATTTGTTGTGTGAGTTTCAGAACAGCGTGGATAGACAGATAACAGCAAAACACACCATGCTAACTCACTGGGGTTGTCCTTATGCCCTGGTGTATTGTGATTATTCTCTAGCCTAAAAATTAGGTGACTATCACTGGAAGTCACTGATTGGCAGCTCTGCAGATGGATATCCTGTGTCCACCCCCAAAGCAGACTCTGCACAGAAAGACATGACAAATACAATAGCACCAGATGCAGCAGGACCATGCCTGTCCTTCCCCTGGGCTGCCAGGAGCAAACTGCTCTGGAGAGTGGCTTCACTTCCTCACAGAGTGCAAGCAGTGTGCCTGCTTAGGCTTTACTCAATGCAATGAGACTGCATAGCCTCACTGCCCAAAAACTACTTTCAAAACTATTTAAACTGTTTATACAAGGTGATCCTTTCAGAGTCCTCAGGGTATTTCCATCCAGTTTGCAATAACCCATTTGTGCCCTTTTCCTATGTGGCAGCAGGTTCTGCACAGCCTCTGACTGTGCTGATGGGGCATTTGTTGCTATTCTTATCAAAAGTACCAAAACCTGACTGGAGTGAGAGGTGTATTGGGAGGAGAAGAGAAATACAGAGATCTCTCACCCAGGGAAGTGAAGAAGGTGAATTGGAGGGAAGAATGAAGTATTGAGAATCCAAGGCCTGAATTTAAGCCTTGCAGTGCAATGTGCATTCAGACATGTCCAAAATATAGATCTGATTTGTGGCCAAGTTGCTTACCTGGTGTCAGAAAAAGGATTGAGGAGCTGAGGACCTGTTTGGAAACACAGCACAGAAATTTAGGACTTCAGTGGAGATCAGGAAATTGATGAACTTTTTTTTTTTTATGGCACTAGCTGACTTCTGAGAAGCAGCAGTGTAGTGTAACAGGGAATCAATAAAGAGAATAAATGATGAAAATCTAATGGACTCTCAACATCAAGCTGTGCTGTACAAACCTGCCCACCAGTCCATCTAAGATAACACTGATAAATGTCCTGAGACTGACCATAGGCAGCAGCAGATTAAGTGATTATCATTCATTTCAGAATGCATCCATCTACCTCTAAATGAAAGTCTTAAGGAAGCACTCTTGCCTCCTACCTGATCTTTTCTCTTCTGAAGAGCAGATCAGGGACTCAGCTTTTCCCAGCTGTGCCTCCCCATGGAAGAGCTCAGTTCAGTGTCTGGGTCCCAGCTGGATCTGCACCCCATCCTGCTCCAGGAGAGAAAGGAGAAGAGGGTCATGGTCTGCAAACTGACTTGACTGCGGTGGAGGAGGAGCTGCAGTCACAAAGTCTCAAGACCAATTCATGAGGGACACAGGCAACTCTGAACTCTCATTTACACCCACTCTGTGACACAGGTGGCATCACTGCCTGTGCAAGTTTCTCATCCCTATGCAAAGAGTGGAATATTTTCCCCTCAGTGTAGTAAAGAGTATGCTTCCCAAAGGCTCTGTGGTTGGACACACAAGTATGAGGAATTCCTCCCCAAACTCCTTACTACAGAATTAGATGTTATATGCTCTGCATTTCCTTAGGGCTGACTGGAGGGGGTTGAGATCCCTGTTTAAACTGGAAGTATCATTATTTCATTCTACTAAATTTATTCTTGTACCACCGTCCCTAGCACAGCTCCTTTTCAGCATTATAACTAAGCCTGTTCATCCGTCTGCAAAATCACATATGACTAATTAAATTTCCATTAATAAAGGTTACCTCTTTCCTCACACCTGTGACAGAGGAAACAAGAGTCATGCTGGCTGGTGCTTTGTCCTTTGGATAGCATCAACTCTGCAAGGAAGGAATGCCTTCATTCTAAAACACAGAGACACAGCAGGTGAGGCAAGAATGCAGGCTAAAATCTTTTGAATGACAGGCTGGCAGGGAAAGTACCACATTTGTCACCAAGTGGTACTGCCAGTGTTCAAAGAGCCGAAGTGCTCTTCTATTTTAGCTTAAAAAGCTGCTTTAAAGTTCAAAGAATTTCTAAAGATTTGCCACACAGCAAATGTTCCACAGGGACTTCTCAGAGAAGTATCTTCATACCTGGTGCAGCTAAGTCCCACATCTGACATTGTCCCCACCACCTATATTCATATCACCATGCTGCATGTCCCATTCTCACACAAAGAAGATGCTTGGAAAGCTGTGCTGGGAGCTAAGGGAAGGATCCTGCTGGAAGTGTTCCCACTGGGAATAGCTCTGTCCATAGAAGAGGGGAAAGGGCTGTGCAACATGAACATGCATGGCACAGAGTAAAGAAAGTCATTCAAGCTGACCCAGTGAGCAGATCTGATCATGCTTTATCTGATGTTGCAGCTCTCTAAATGTACATTAAATATAAAGGCAGGCTCCCCAGAAGATATTGAGGGTCCCTTTTGCGGGCTCACCCTAGAGAGGGCTCAAAGCCACCAAAGTTTGGGCCTTGTGCCAGAATCCCTTGAGCTGCTTCATCACTGCCCGAGTGCCTTCAAACCCCACAGTTAACCCCACTGATGCACAGTGCTAAAGCCAGCTCTGCCTGTCGCCTCCTGCCAAGAGCAGCAGGGAACCCTGCTGGCTCGGGGCTCTCAAGGTCAAAGGCAGAGACCCAACCCAGGCTGAAGAAACTGTATACATTACAATGCAATTAAGAAGTTGATGTACCACCTCTCACATGCTGCCCATTACTGACAGACGGAAATAGAGGTGTTGTCACCACACAGGGCATCATCAATTGGCTTTTTAAAATATGCTCGATGGCAGAAATTTCAAGGGCAGCACAAACTGACAAACTGCAGTCTAACCTCTCTATACATGGTTCAGAAATTGGCATTTTAGTATAGATAAAATATAAGCAGCTTCAGCCATGCTATAACTATTATAACTGTGAAACTATTGTTATTATTTCCAGATGGTTATTCAGTAGTTTTAATTTTTGGCACCTAGAACAGTTTGTGGTTTTGCCAGGGTCTGTAAATATTTCTTAAATCCTCCTGACATGGGGTTTAGTAAGAAGGTAAAAGTATTGTATTTCTTACTGAACAGAAAGGGCAGACCAAAGACAAACACCAGCCCAGAATTATAAATTGCCTGAATAGGGAAGACAAAATTAGGAATAGAAGGAAAATAAAATGAGATCAATAGAGGTGGGAATATGTAGAGAAAAGAGGAAAATGGGAAAGTAAGAGGCAGGGCTCAAAGGCAACCAAAGTACTTGTCCTGTTTTGACCTGCTAATACCACGCCATCACAGTTTTCATACCCTGTCACCCATGGAAGGAGAAGCCTAAGAAAGACATCTAGGAGAAAGTAGGCTCCCTCTCTTTTAATCAAACAGGATCAGCAAAAGAGGCCAAAATAGAATTAAATTGGACAGAAGACCCCTGTGACAGGACTTCAATGATGTCATGCACAGTTTGAAGCCTTTGCACCTGTATATTTAAATACTGGTATACACTGATGCTTGTGCAATAAACAGAGTGCACACCCCTCACAAGAGCCTGGCCTACACCAGCTGAAAGATCCTGACAGAAACTGAGCTCTGAACCCACAGCAGCTTAGCAGGAGCTGCTGACTTTACAGAGCACCTCCAGGAGGAAGGAAAGCTTTATCCTCTGCTTTCAAAGAAGCCTCTTATGTCTTGCAAGCCACATTTGACATTTAGCTTGCCCTACAAGGAAAAAGCAGCTTCCAGCCTTTTTCCTGGCTATTAAGCTGGGAGGAGTATGGACATGGCAGTGGAGTGCAGGCTGCTTGCTGGCAGGAACAGTCAGGGAGAGAAGTCACAACTACTGAGCCACCCTTTATCCCCAGAAAGTTCTTTGCAGCTGGGGAGCTAAGAGGGAGCAGGTTTTTCACTGAGGTATCAAACGAATCTCTTTCCCTGAGCATTAATATAATCTGCACCTGTGCTCTCCCTGCATAGCAGTACTGACATACCAAATAATGAAGGGAGCTGCAGCCTCCCATCCTCCTGTGGGAACTGCCAATGTGGGAAAGGGTTTTCAGAGAAGTGGAAAATCTCAGGGAAATCTCTTATGTGCAAAGTTAATAGGTAGGATACTCTCAAGGCAGCTTGGAGAAATGGTCACACACATTTCATTTTCGTAAGTGGAAAATATGTGGTCAGAGTGCCAGATTTCTCAGCCCCTTTTGTGAATTAAGCAGCTACATAGAGATGATGGAAATGTGTGTATTGGGGGGGGTTCTGTCTCATAGATCAGGGGCCACACCTCTGTGCTGTTTGTGGCACTAATCATTTTTTAATTGGCTTCTTAAAATGTGCAATTACCAGCACATTCTCAGCACCTTTCTAAGGCAGAATGGGCTCCCTGGGCCAAAGGCTCAGCTCCATAACCACTCACCCCGTGCATCACTTCCCTGGCAGGAGAAGCCTTGTTCATAATTCATGAGCAGCACTTGCAGATTGAGGCCCTCGAGCACTTTTACTGCTGTTGGGAAGAAAGGAAAATGGGGTCACTCTGCAAAGGTGTGACATTTATATTAAAAAAAACCCAACAGCACTTTGAAAATACTTGGTTGAATTGGTTCATAAGAGCACAATGGAACTAACTGATCATCTGCTCCCAAGTTCAGAGAGCTCATGTGTGGGCTTCTGCAAGCCAGGAACAAAGCCAGCTTGGCCCCAACAACAGCTCGTTTGTTTTGACCATTCAGACTGCTGACTTTCCTCAGCTGCCTGTTAGATTTCACATCTTCATATGGCTGCAGACTGCCTTCCCTGCCTTTGCTTCCATCCATGGCTGCATCAGATTGGCATGTTAGAGTGTGAAGGTGAATTTCATTTCCTTGTGGTCTTGTACTTGAAATATGATGGCAGAGAGACATTATCCTTTGAATGCATTTCACTGACAACCTACTTTGTATTTCCAAGTAGATCCTTTGAGAAAATCGACTTTTATTTCCCCACCTTTCTCCTCCAACTTTCTTTTAGCATTTTTCTCTGAGCCAAGATGCAGGGTCAGATTTTTTTCCCCTCAGTGAGATAAGTCAAGTGCATAAAGAAGTGAGAAAACAATTTTAATCTATTTGCAGAAATTCCCTGCTGGAAGCAGTACAATCACTCATCTAGCATGATAAAGATGCTCATTAAAGACAATTATGAAAAAAATAATTCATCTAGGAATTGGCTGTGGCTTCCCTGACAACACTGCTGGGAGCAGTTTTGGTCAGCAATGTTTCCTCCCAGAGTAGACACTGATCACTGCTTTCCCAGGATTTGCCAGTTCTGCTTCTCCGATTCTTCCTCTCATCCCCTGTGAAAAGGGGATTTATTACCATAAATCAGAACTATAAATCTAAGATACCAATATGCCTGACAAGCTCACCCCAGAAGCCAGGTGAGAGGGGACACGTTTTTATTCTTTGGCCTTTGTACTGCCAGGTTGTGGAAACAACAGAACAGATCACACAGCCGTGCACATTGTTCCAGCCAAGAGAGTCTGGCTGTCAGATGCTGCCCCACCTGGCAGCCCCAGCCTTTGGAGGCAGTGACCTGGAGCTAAAATGGTCTGGCTGTTCCCTCTCCCTCCTCTGCCTGACCTCCTGGTCCCTATTCACCCCTCTTTCCTCTGGCCCTCAGAGAGCAGCTCCTCTCTGTGTCACAGGGAGTGCTATCCCTGCCATCTGGAGCAGCACTTCTGTTGTTCCAAGCCTAAATGAATTTGAGGAGAAGCAGGGAGCTGCTCCTGAGGAGAGACATTTCCTGAGCCTGCCTTATCAGCCTGACTCCTCCTAGTGCAATGCCTGCTTGGAAAATTAAGCACCTCCTGAA